ACTGCGTCCTCCTGGATTATGGGGAATTTACTGTGCTCTCCATCCCCGTTTTCCAGCTCAGGAGGCTGAATACCCTGCGGATACCTGGTCTGGCTATTAAAGACTGAGGCAAAGAAGGCATTAAGTACCTCAGCCTTGTCCTCGTCCTTGGAGGCAATGTTCCCCCCCATATCTAGGCAGGGATGGAGATTTTCCTTGCCTCTCTTTTTGTTGTTAATGTGTTTGTAAAAGCATTTTTTGTTATCCTTAACGACTGTGGCCAGATTGAGCTCTAGCTGGGCTTTTGCCTTTCTAATTTTGTCTCTGCTTGACCTAACGAGAACCTTGTACTCTTCATGAGTCGCCTGCCCCTTCTTCCAGAGGTGATAAACTCTCCTCTTTTCCCTGAGTCCCAGCAAAATCTCCCTGTTCAGCCAGGCGGGTCGCCTTCCCCGCCAGCTCTTCTTACGGCACATGGGGACCGCCTGCTCCTGTGCCTTTAAGATTTCCTTCTTGAAGACTGTCCAGCCTTCCTGGGCCCCTTTGTCCTTCAGGACTGTCTCCCAAGAGACTCTCTCAACCAGTGACCTGAACAGGCCAAAGTCCTCCCTCCGGAAGTCCATGGTAGCAGTTTTGCTGACCCCTCTCCTTACTTCGCTCACAATTGAGAATTCTATCATGTCGTGGTCGCTAAGCCCAAGATGGCCTCCAGCCACCACATCTCCCACCAGTCCTTCTCTGTTTGTAAACAACAAGTCAAGCAAGAGACCAAGATAACTTTTTCAGTTTGCAGTGTTAACACGTATTGCCAGGTCTGAGTTTTCAATAGACAGATGGGTGTGATGGCTTTACTTTGTCTGCCCCTTTGAATTGTGCTCATGTGTATAAAAAAATTTTACAGGCACACACACATATACTATATGGATTATATATTAATCAGAGCAAATCTGTGAATGAAATTATATCCTCAATTTTTAGAGGATAAAAAAAAGAATTTAAAATCCATGGAAAACAGGGATCAGTTTCTTCCCTCCTACATAAACTGACATCCGACTGTTTAAACTGGAAAAGTACAAAAACTGGCTGAATGAGAAAAGCCTGCAAGCCCTTTGGAAGAAAATTCCATGGCTCCAAGAGGAGCAATAGCAGCCCAGAACACACGAAAGTCAAACACCTTATTTATGTGCCCAAAAGTTTAGAAGGTTGACTGCTGGGTACCATTTTTCTACAGAAATACAGAAATAAAAATATTGGTGTTACATAAAGAAGTGAAAATTAAGAAATTTCAGTAGATCAGCTTTTCAGCTGAATACCTCTTGAATGGATTGAATGTTGTGTGTTGGGTTAAAATTGGAATTGACTTGGTAAAGAACAAGATCATAAGACTCGGATTCTTCATTTAGGTTTGAAGAAGGCAGAGAAGAATATGCTTTGAGTTTTGAGATAGATAATGGCTGGATCTATACTGCGTAGTACAACAAACCTGGTCTCTATCATTGGTAAAGACCAGGCCACCTTGGGAAGGGCTGTCATTGTAATAGTGAAAGATCATCTTTTTCCTAGTGAATACACATCATCATTACATTTTTGTCATGAACATGTAGTTGACTCATTCTAATGTTACCTACCATTTTACAATAACCTGCGTTTAGACTGAAGTAGGAAGACTCTTGGTACGACATTCTGATCAAGAACTTCTCATACGGTGTCTGAGAAGTGGTGGTGTGAGGTGAGGTAGCGTGGAACGTGATCTGGGAGCACTTTTTGTGTGTGAGCGCTGAATCATCTGCAAGGAAGTACTTAGATATGTGCGTTTACAGAATGCCTTATGTCCAAGTGGAAGAGATGAAAAGTTAAACTGGATGAGGATAATAGAGGGGATATTTTGTTAATGTGAGGAAAAGGAGGAAATACTTTAAAATGCTCTTAAGTTCACTTACGTTAGCTTTCCCTATATCTTCTGTGTTTTGCCATTTACAGCTGTTGTAGCTTAATACCTGCATGCATATAAAAAAGAGGAAACCATCCAGAAAAGTATCAGGGAATAAAACTACATTTGTTTATTTTAACAGAACGCTGAAATTTCAGTATTTGAAGTGAACATTCGTTTTGTTGGCGGACTACTTTCAGCTTACTATCTTTCAGGAGAAGAGGTAAGATATTTCCACATGGTTTATCTGAAATATCATCCTCTATATAAGTAGTTAAGTTTTATTTTAATAATTTTATTTATGCAAATTAAATTTGTTTAGAACTTTGAAAATGGCTTGTACAGCAGAGTCCTGTCCAATGGGTTTTCTTGCTTCCGTTATTGTTGCTTTGTGTAAGTCTTAAAGCTATTAGTTCACGTAAGTGTTAAATGCTGGTTGTGGGTTTTTTTTTCCTGAGTTGAAACCATAACTAGTACATTCTTACCAGCCTTCCTGCTGGAGTGGGTAATTATGGAGTTCCTATGCCGTGGTAGTGGTAAATTTGGTGCATCAGGTTCGTGCTTCACAAATTGGTTTTGAGCATATCCTTTAGCTCCTATAAACTATACTTCTGTTGGCCTTTCTGCACCTGAAGCTTCAACTCACATGGAAAAGACATGGATAACTGGTAAACCTATACATGTAAATGTCTTTAAAGCACTGGTATCCCATTAATCTCTATTGCCTGTCATGGTTTCTGGAGAGGATGAAGAAGCAATTTCATCTAAGAGCTTTGACTAATGCAATTATTTCTGTAATATATTTGGAGAAGGCTATAGTAAGTCACAAGTACTGTGATATTTTAAATTTTTAGCTTGGCACTTGCAAAGTCTTTAATCTTACTAGTTTAAATTCTTATTCCTGACTCTGGATTATAGTAGTATTTTATTGTAGGATTAACACAAGTTAATATTCTTTAACCATAAATTGAATTTATCACTGGATTTCATTAAATCCAAAGCAATTACTAGGGGAAATTCCACAAAACCCTAAAGATGTATAATTTTCTTTCATATGTAAATTTCCCAAATACTGGGTAAAGCTCTGTGTTGAACCTGTCACTGTAACTTAAATTCTGTGTTGTGCATGTTGGTTTTTGTTAACTTTTAGCATTATGTTAAAGCTGTCTTAGCAGGTACTACTGGATCATGTACCTGCCAAAGCAGTTATAAGGAGGCAGTGTTCCTCTGACATTTTTACATCTGAAGTAGACTTACCTCTTTACTTCCCATGATCCTGTCCTGAGGGTAGGTGGTATTGAAAAGACATTAATGTTTTTAAATATACAGGGGTTTTTTGCATTTCAACTGTCTTACAATTTTCTAGGGAAAAAATTGCATTTAGACCCATTTCAAATTCACATTTAGAAGCAATGAAAAAAGTCTGAGAGGAGCTTGGTAACTGGCTTCTTGATCTTTACTAAATGTTGTTTAACAATGTTTCATCTCCAACTCTTGAAAGAAATCACTTGTCCCGCTACAGTAACTCGGCGACCAGAAATAAGCGTGTCTAAGGGTGTCCAGAATTGAGAGCCCTTTCCTTCTGCAATTAAATAGTTGTATCTTTCACTGCAGATCTACTTGCAAACAGGAGTGAACTTTTCCAGTATAACCTATTGCTACATTTTAATTAACCAGTTCTGACAAGAGCAGAGGAGGCTTCTTGGCAGACATCAAGCTGGTAGAGGACTGCACATGAGCCTTTATATCAAGCAGCAGTTCTCTGCCAAGAAATGCCTGAACCATTTGTCATCGGTGCTGTTGATTTTGTATATATGTTGATGATTTATATCTTGTGTCTGTTAATGTGCAGTCTCACTTTCAATCAGTGCGTATAGTTTCTCCTAAATAACACCTAGTCATTGTTTCTCAACCATTCCTTCATCTTTAGAGCGGCAGTTTTACCACCATCTCTTGGACTAGATTGATAGCAACACTCATGTTCCAATAAAACTCTTCTACGAATGAAATGAGGAAACATTTAAAACCAAAGAAAGCATTCTAAAAATGGATGGACTCATTAATGAAAGTAAAATGGGCTCCTAAACGCAGAGATGGTGTGTATTATTAGGAGGGTCCTGAGCTCTTGCAGGCTGGGAAAAACACTGTCCGTGCTTGCCACTGGTTTTCATACTCTTCGACAGGCATCTGCTGCCGGAGATAGAATGATGTTCCTAAACTAACAGCTGTCCTGGTGGCTTAGAGAGTGCGGCTCAGCATGCTTTGCCTTTATCAGGTTTGGGGAAACTTCCTGATTTGTCTCCTAAATCCAAGACACTGAAGCAGACTGCTGCCTATGGGAAGAGCG